ATATGTTTCATCTCTGCCCCCCCAGCACCCACCACCCATCATTAACAGAAAACACTCAGCTAGCTCAGAAACACTCCTTGATGTGTTTGTCACAAATATATTATGACATGCAGGGAAAATGCTATATCAGTGGTGTGGAGGTGTCTGATAGGTGGGTGTACTGTGAGGATCCTCACCCCAACATGTGTGCGTCTGTCCACACACTGCGAACACTCACTGTTTCCCCAAATGCTCTGTAACTATATCTGAGCTGAAAGTCTTGCTGAAACAAAAAAAAGGATACAGTTAATAATAATTAGTTATTTTACAGGTTTGCTAAGTTATATTTAATAAGTTAATGGTCTATGTCAATGAGCTGTGTTCTGATTGGCTGCCCTGAATTGTGCTCATTCAAAAATCATTCTGATTTGAAACACTGAATGAATGGGCGGGGCTAAACTGCTGTAGCCTGAGTAGGTGACTATGTTCAACTGTGATGGTTTGTGTGACGGCACAAAAGACTGTGAATTCAAAACTGGCAGTTTTTGAAGCTCTTTTTCCATGTATAGACTGTATGAACTGTGGAGTGAACAAAATGTTTTAAAACTTTAACAGTGTTTACATAGAATACATATAAAACTCTTTGACATAAAAAAGGTCATGAAAATTCAGTTTTTGTTTTATAGGCTCTTTAAATGTGCAGAATTGTGTTCTATGTAGAGGACATGTATTAACGAACAGCAAAACGTCATTTGACCCGAAGCACCCAAACTTTTGCATACAACATATGCATATGTTTCTGCCTCAGCACTGCACTAGCGAGTATAATGACTGACGTTGGCTCTAAGCATTTTAGACGAGTCAGAGTCTACACTTCTGCTTTTATTTTCTTTCTGTATTTCCTGCACCGTCCTTACTTCAACCTTGTGTTTCTGCTATGCATTGTGTTTTTGTTTGTTTGTTGTCCCTTTTTATGGGCTTAACAGGCTCTCTCTGTCTGCTATTCTCTTCTGGGTGCTGCCAGATGGACAAAAGATACACCAACCTGTCCTCATTTGAAACTATACAGAAAATCTTCAGTGTCATGGCGGGATTAGCCGCTAGGCTCTGGGCGCCGGGCCCCTGTCATTACTGCAGCACAGCTGCAGGGGAACTCTTAGCTTTGCATCAGCTGCTAATCTGTTTTGGCTTGTGCTCTTTGAAACGGGTGCCGGTGGGAAGAGCGCTATCCTTCGCTCCATTAACGTCCATCTCCACTAACAAATTACACACTGGAGTCTGTCCCACTCTGACTGGACCCTGCTCTTCAGGCTGATCCAAGACCAGTCTCTTCTAGATAACTGTTATTAGATGAATGATAAATGTGGCCTGAGATCAGCATAGAATGGATTGTGTTCTCTCAAAGCAGATCAGCCAGCAATCAAATGTGCACTGTTTTCTCCTTAGTCCCAATGTAGTCTTTAGTTTTGCACCAGAGCTACAAGGTTTATTAGGCTATTAATTCACCCACCAATTAGTAAAGTCAAACACCCCAGCTGTGTGGAGTTGTTAAGTAAGATTTGCTATTGTGGTTTCTTACACTGTGTGACTGTTATCTAAATCACTGAGTATCAAAAGGCCCAACTCGCACTTTCACTTAAGACATTTGTGTGGTTTTATGTGCCGAAAATAGTCATAGTTAATTGTGACGTGACCATTTTTCCACTTCTCTTCATCCCTTAGAAATAAACAGAACTGTTTGTGTTTCTGTGCCTTTAAGACTGATATATGTAAATGAGCCATGTACCCCTAACACTTCACCCTACCCCTCTATCTCAACAAAAATCAGGACACCCTAACCCTAGACGTGAACATGCAAAACGGAGGGCTAAGGGCTAAGTGATAGGGCCAAGGGGTGAAATGGGATTGGGCCTAAGTCTCTGTTAATTCTTAGTTACATTAGCCTTGTATTTCCAATTCAAAACGAAAGAAGCAAACTAAAGACACCAAACACATCTTGGCTAATTTGCTGAAAGGGTTTTTGGCCGATCCATTGCTTCAAGTCTTCTCTTAACTCTGTTATTCCACAGGAGGGATTTTTATAATCTCCTGAGAGTCGTAAAGTGAGTGTGTGATTTCAGGGCACAGTGCGGCTGTTCACACTTCGCATCAACATGCCTTTTCAGTGTTTCAGTGATCGTATGACTTTTGCATTTTTACATTATGATCTGATTATGATCTGATCACTCAGTCCACTTTTGGAGGTGGTACAGATCTTGCCCACGTTCAACAAAAGTATAAATGGAATGCGTTTTCTGTATCTACACACAGTTATGTAAGTCTTAAATTCTCTCTCGTCTCCAAAAAGTCCTTTGGACAGTGGTTGTGCTGACAACTGTAGACATCACAGCAATGCCTTGTCCTCTGCTGCATCCATTTTAAACACTTGTTTCTGATACTTGACAGTGTAGAAGACACTGCATAACTTTTAAAGTGCTAAGAGATTTCAAAAATGGAGAGACTCAAATTTTTAACACTAGTCTTTTACAGAATTTCCTGTCTTTTTGTCATGAGGGTGCGCACACTAGATAGTAAGGCAAAAAGAGAGTGTAATGATGAGTTTTGGCTATGAAGCTCACTCAAAACCTCAAATATCACTGTTATCATGAGATACAAACAAAGCTCAAATGCACAGGAAGGCTTAGAAGAACTGATTGTGGTTAATAAAACGGAGATGTCACAGCAAAAGCCTGAGAAATATTTTTACTACAACCTCTTTCAAAACGTACCATACTGAAAATCTCTCACTGCAGAAATTGTGAATGCTTTAAACCGTTAAAATCAGATGTTTCAAAATATTAGAGGGTCTTCGATCAATTCAGAGAGGCAGTGGAATGCTAAAGATTCCTAAAGACTCGTTTCCCATCTAACACTACCAGATCACCTGCTCCGTCAACTGCTTCCAACCTGGATAATCGCTTCAGATTGTGGACATTTGTTGGAAGGGGCAAATCGGAGTTACGTTTGGGCTAAAAGTCATTTAGTGTAGACCCAGCTTAACAGAGAAACCATGTTTTCGATTGGTTACCAGAGTAATGAAGATCTGATGTGAGATTCTTGCAGGGACAGCCTACTTCGTAATTTAGTCCACGATTAGTACCTAATAAATTGGCATCTCTGTGCTACAATAATGTCTGTCTGCGACGCACCCTTGTCACTCAGTGTAGTGTCTTATTATGTATGATGTTGCTACTATGAAACCCGAGTGCCTTAACATGCCTTAAATATGACTGACAAGTCTGAGAGAGCGTAGCTAGGCTAACTATTATAGCTGAAGTTGGAAAGGATATTGCCCTTTTCTCAGCATTACCTCAATAAGCCAACATCATCCTCAGAGTAGAAAATAACTTATCCTTGTGAATGTCTCTCTTCCAATGAAACAGTTAGCTGTAGCATTAGCTTATCTACACACAGATGCTTCTTCAAGGGTTCTTTAATAAAGAAAATAGTTCTGTATAGAACCATGAACACTTAAAGAACCATTTGCGTGATTAAAAGGTTTTTGCATTTGAAAGCGTTCTTCACATTGATGGAAAATGTGTTGTAGATTAACCTTTTTGAAAAGTAGTCTATATAGCACCAAAAAGGGTTCTTCTATCGTAAAAGGCTTGATATCGTAACAATAGAAGAACGCTTTTTGGTGCTATATAGAACCATCTATAGCACATTCTCCATAAATCTGAAGAACGGTTTCATGAGGCAAAGAACCCTTTAATCATGCAAAAGGTTCTTTAACTGTTCATGGTTCTACATAGAACCATTTTCTTTACTAAAGAACCCTTGAACCATCTGTTTTTAAGGACAGTACTGATTTATCCCACACATTTATAGAAATCACTGTGCTGCTGAATTTGGTTAGTTAGTAAAAATAAGTGTACAGCCCTGTTGGTGCATTATTTTGATATTGAGATATAAATAAGTTTTTAGTGGTCGTCATTCAGAACGTAAACAGCATGTGAAGAAATGAATCCAGTGGTCTTTTTTGGTTCCATGTACACAAGGTACATTCTTTCCAAATGGTAATGTTTTCCTCTCCAGCCTCACTAAACACAGCTTTTTGGCTGTACTTGTATACAAGCAAGCATCAACTTTTTATGCAAGAGTTGTTACATGCACACAGTGAGTGTGCAAACTTCAATACTTGTGACTGTAATCTTAATGCTTTTTTTAATTTTATAAAATTGCAATTTTGGTGAAAAGTGTAAATGAACTCAGGCCAGAGTAAATCCAGATATGATCCGGGCATGAATCAAAAGCTCAATCAGACATTTTTTAAACCCGCGTTACCTTTGTATTGAATAAATAGTGCCTTTTTCTTTCACAAAGACCAATTGCATTTGAAAAGAAAGTCAATGCTGGTCATCACCGCCACTATCATAGGAAAGAAAAAGAAAAATGAAGGCCGCCTGCATGCAGATATAAATCTGTCTTTCACAGAAGGGGAAAGGCTGGGAAGGAAAACAAAGAGGAAGGTCTTTTTAAGCATCATTTTGGGCCTCCATGGGGCTTTTAAACACGACAGGCTGAAGCATTGCGCCCTGCAGCATTCTCACATGCAGCGTGTCTGTGCCTGTGCTCTGTTTGAGGTCGACCTTGAAGCAAAGCCTATAAACTGCTGCTCTCATTGATGGAGACAGATTGCAAAATTATGACTTTCCGCTAAGCATGGCTTTACCATTTGAATGGGCCAGCTAGACACTGCAGGCCTTTCCTGTTGACTTTAGTGTTGCCAAACATGTCGTATTAACTTTGAGTGTTGAAATAAATCATTTTGAAATGTCAGATGTTATCTGTTGTTGTACTGTAGTTCATTTTTTGTTGTATAGAACAAAACTGCCACATTATTCTTTCTGACAAAGAAGCCTAAGACCTTTAAGTTTTTTTTGTTTTGTTTTGTTTTTCCTGTTTTATTGTTTACATGTTGATCTTTTTAAGGGCTTCCTGTTTCATCATGCCTCTTTCCCTCATCCATTCTTTTTCAGAGAAAGCTAAGAGGGACAGTCCACTTCCTGCGAGCAGTGATGAGCAGAAAGAAAAGAGACCAGCTGTGGAGCCACTTGAGCAGGACAGACCCTCAAAGAAAGGTCAGCAGGTTCAGAGAGGTGATGAGTAATGCTGTAGTCATGAAAAAAGGAAATACATGCTGTGTCACGGTAAAGCCAGAATTAACCTATTTCATCAGCATGACTAAATATTCCAAGACCGCAGGTCAGCCGCTTGTTTTCCTAGAATAGAAGATTATGGAAAACATTTGAACCCAATGAAGAGGCCGTATTAATACCACTGGCAGCCAGCCCGGAAGGAGAAGCCCAAAACCTATTGACATATGTGTGTCAGGTCATTGTTGATGCTTATACAGTTATATCTTTTGTCTGGTCATCTCTGGAATTAGTCCTCCGGCCTCTAGACTGTCTGTAAAGTCCCCTTACCCTCTTTTTCAGTTGTGCAAAAAAGCCAAGAGCTATGAAATGGAATACAGCCCACATTTACTTGTTTTGTTGAGCAGATTGTTGGTGTAAGATAGGGCCAGCGTTTGAAGTTCCTTCGTGTAGTTGGCATAGAGCTGTGTCCTCTTGCACGTAGTGCACTCCACTCTCTGTGGAGAGCATGCTGGCACCACCTGTGTAAATGTGAAGGAGCGATAACATATACTGTTTACAGAGGCACGTGTGTGTGTGTGTGTGTGTGTGTGTCTGTGTAACAACACGCTACAGTGTATCTGCAGTTCATATTGTGGTTTGACTTTACAGTCACTAGTGCTGCTGTACCAACTACAGCAAGGGTCAGCAACATGCGGCTCTTTTACAGCCCTGCTGCGGCTCCACAGCAGCATTAGATTTTTAGGTAAAAATAAAATAATCCTCCTTTTCAGTTAAATAAAGCTCTACTGATCGTTCCAACACAATAAATGGTCTTAAACACTGAAATTAATATACAACTGCTAATTTGGTGCGCAGACTGCTGGTCAGCATAGCAACACAGACAACAATTTTCCCTAGCTAGTAGCTAAAGGACAAGAGAAAGGTTTAAGACAAACATCGATAATTTGGAGATAAATGGACTTATTTGCGTTTAAAACCACTCAGCTGGTTTCCTGATACGTTTAATCTGCAGCAAGAAACTGTCAAACACAAAAAAGGGACTAGAAGTCTAGCTTCTCGTTCGCCAGCTTTTTGTTCACATTTTCTCGTTCCACCTTAAATGCTGCAGCAGTTACATTTTGGCATCTCAGGCACCATTTAAGGTGGAACGGGAACATTCGACCAAGATGCTGGCGAACGAGAAGCTGACTTCAGCCTCGTAAAAAGTCGAATGTCGAGAGACATTTTACAAGAAACTGTTCCACTTTTGCGGAAAAGTTTCCTGCCGGAGATGCGAGAAAAGCAGCTATAAGTTAGCTGACCTAAAGCTTAACAAGCAAAGTAAGTATGTGTTATTGTTTATATTATATTTTTTAGCCTATACTAGGACTTCAGCACATACTGAGCTATATTTACAGCCCAGGTTGTAAAATGGACATAAAATGTTGTGTCTCCCAAGGTGGTTTTATTTTTGTCAAAATGACAAAACAGCTCTTCTTAACATTTAGGGTTGGGATCAACCAAATTTGGGATCAACAAAAATTGTAACTTTGCACCACTGCTGTAACACCTTTAGAGGGCAGTGGTGAGTGATGTTTGTTGGGAGGACTGATAGCTAAGAGGTAAGATATTAAGGTGCACTGTTGGAACCTGCCAAGATCAGATTCAGTAGATTTTTGCTCCAAACACACAATCTGCAGTCGGCCAATTTATTATCTTCATTTGGCTAATCTGTGTAATGTTGCTGCTACAGCGGTTTCATGTCGTTGTAGTATAATCATGTATGACTTGTGCTAAATCACCAGTCGCCTCTTACTTTTGATGTAGCACTTTATTTGGTTAATATTATGTAAAGTACTGATTTTTCTTTTACAAATGTAAAATGCTAGTTTGGCTTATAAAAGAGCAAATATTATTACTTATATTGCAACTTTGGCCAACAGAGAGTACTAGAAAGTTATTCTTCCTCCTTCAGTGTGAACTCTAAGTTGTAATTAACAGTTTTTTTGGCAGTTTATTGTCAGCTAAAGGTTCATGATTGCAAAATATCTGCTCTCTTCCCAGAGGTTGAAGGGTCAGGAGGTAGGAATTTGTTTGCACGGATTCTGAAAGTAGCGCAGCGCTACCTAGCAGATGCAGCTAAGCAGAACACAGCGGCCAAGGTAAGACCCTCAGTTTTCTCTTATAATATTCAGTGTTTTCAGGAATTCATTATGCAGGTTTTTTGGAATTGCTGTTTATTTACCATTACTTCATCCCAAACCTGCTCACAAAGTATTGTTGGTCATTAGTAAAGAATGTAACTAGTAGAACAGGCCTGTGTTGCTGATTGAATTAAATCTGTTTCTAACTTACAAACTAATTTTACAGTGTAAAACACAGTCATATTCAAAAGGTCAGATGCCTCTGGTCAAAAGACAGGTTCTGTAAATTTCCAAAGTGAAAATAAGTTTACACATTCTGTAGAAAACACTTTTCTGCATATTTTAATACATAATTACTGATTATTTGCTGTATTTAACCAATAGAGGGAAAAAATAAAACATTGACCTGTGCAAATGTTACGGCACATTTTATATTTTATGTCCTCTAGTTGGTCAAACTAAAACAAATAGAAATTGTGCACTAAAAGTTTCAGGAAGTGCCATATTTAAGTGTGTTCCCTGTAGAGGATGTGTTAGCTTGTTCTCAAAAACAATCAACACAACATGTAACTTGACTGGGGGTGTTCAAACCTTTTCATATGACTGTATTAGGCTGTGTAATGTATGTCAACTGAGACAGCAAAAATCTGAAATTAGACTGCTGTCATGTCTCTATCTCCTAGGCCAAGGCTTCACCTCCTGCCAAAAGCAGCCCAGCTGTGTCCCGTCAACCTAAGAAGAGAACCTCAGTCTCCTTCACGCAGGCGCAGGTACTGCTCCAGTTATGTTGTGTAACAGAAGCTGAGGTATTACTTCCTCATTACAAACATTCTAGACCAGGATTTTACATTATGTAACCTCAAAAAATTGTGTTGTCGTATGTTAGAATGGGTGGCAGGGTGTTTAATACAATAAATTTGTCATGTAGACCTTCAGTAATTTGTCTGAGCCTGAGAGGAAGCACTGAAACGTTTGAATAAGATATTTTCAAGCTCTTATTCAGGGAGAGGGTGTATCTGTGATGTATCAGTATAAAGTAGACAAACTAATGCAGTCTTTCCTGAAAAACAAAGGCCTTTTGAGCTGCAGGAGTATGTGGATATTATTACCGTCTGGGCTATAGTTGCTTTTCATTCAACTGAAATGGGTCACTTTGTAACTCCAGGGGGCTGTTTTGGCAGTGCTGTACTGGAGCTGAGAATACACAGCAGTTTTCACACTGCCTTTCAGAATGAAGTAGTGGTCTCGCTTATCTATGTCCCAACTGGAGACATTATTAAAATTAGAAGGGCCCAGATTCTGCATGTTTCTTGTAGGCCTTAGGGATGCATAGAAATAATCAAAGTGGCGCTTTGTTTTCAGCCAAAAGAGAAAAAAGGCCATAACATTTTTATAACATTATTAAAAAAAAACAATCATCAAAACATTTGAATGACAATGAAAACGAGTGGTTAAAAGTGCTGTATCTATCTCCTGTGCCAGTCAGAACAGATGCATTCAAACAGTTTGAGCTGCAGCAGATAAACGGTGGAAAAACATTTCACTCATTTGAGTGCTTCTATGAGGGCATTGGACAAGCAAAGTTTAATCTCTTTTTCTCTATATATGCTGTGTCAGTAGTCAGTATGACACTCAAGAACTTATCATACATCATCCTGAATGACACAGAATAACTGAAAACAACAGAAGCAAAAAGAAAAGTATAACAAATGTCAGAATTCATGCCTTGTCACATTTCTGTTGTCGGGACTTTGAATTTCATCCACATTTTGTAGCCTACATACTGTAATGATTCAGTACATTTAGAAATTGTTTTTTTTTATCATCAACTCAGTTTTATCCTGTTGAAAGCCATTTTTTCCATAATGAAATAAAATATTTTCTTTATTGCCTTGATAGTTTTTTTGTTCAGTATATCTACTCTACAGCTTAAATAAAACAGCAAATTAAAAGAATATATTTTTTCAGTTTTTGTTTTTAGCCAGGAGATTTCATTCCCCCAGAGGTTACTTGCAGTGTTTGTGTGGGTTTTTTTTAATAAAAAATTGTAGCAGATACAGAAGCTCAAGTCGCATATTGACTGACTTGCAGCTCAACTCAGACTCGCACTTAACTGACTCGCAACTTGACTGACGAGTTTTGAAATTGAATCATTAACAAAACGAATTAAATTAAATTAGAAACCTTAATGCAGTAAATGAATAAAAACTTATGTTTCCAACCTTATGTGTGCGACTTTACCTGTCAGTTTTGCTGCGGTCAGCTAGTTATATAGCTAGCTAAACTACAGACTAACCAAGTTGTTTTGCCTCTTTCCTTTTCAACAGTACATTTACTATGTGTAGTGCTTTAGTTTCATTCTTCAGACTGAAGATTTTTTTTTTTTTCGAATTAAAGGCTTGTTATTTAAAGCCATGCTGAACCCGACAGTTGTTTACGAGGGGTTTACTTTTGTACAATACAACACCTACAGCTTATAACAAGATAAAACTCTATTGACATCACAGCCATGTTAAATTCAAAGTGGGCTGTTTGAAGCTTAATATCCATAAATAGGCTGTACATGGTTTTGGAGTGAGTGGTACATTTTGAAACCTTAACAGTGTTAAGCTTTCAAAGGAAACGAGGACTATTTTCCATGATATGGAACATTTAGTGTCTTTGACATCTGTAGCCTGTATAGTGGGACTGAATGATGTTTGTTTTTGTTTTTTCAGAGGAGGAGGAGCCAAAACAGGCAGTCGCAGAATGCAGCTGTGGGCATTGACGAAAATAGACCATTCCCCCGTCAGGATACTGATGGAGGCACAGCTGAGGACAGGTGAGAGAGTGACACAGAGAGAGAGAGCAGCAGAGATGAACAAGAACGTTAGAACAAATTACTAATACCCCTTTGTACATTTTAAAGGGACACTTCTGTTAATGAAGATATTTTTGGTAATGACTGCAGCACCTGTGCAGCAGCGTCATAATCATTAATATCTGTACATTGCCGCAAGCATCACAACAGAACAAACTCCTTCACACTAATTGGGCTGTAGTGCACTTTACATCTGTTGGCCATTAATCAAGTTTGTTTTTGATGTTCATTCAGTGTGAGTCATTATGATTTATGGAATTCGAAGTGCCTGCAGCAGCCACACATGCGAGTCAGACTCTGGGAACTTGCTTCAGATCTCGAAGCGGAATACCCGTCCGCAATGCTGAACAGTGGCTTTGTGCTGGAAAATCGAGTTTGCGAAGAGCAAACGTCACCTGTTTTAAGCGTTTTTCACGCAGCACTCAAGATGTTTCATAACAGAACACACCTTTAGAAATAGGATCACCCACAGGTTAATGATGTGCCTCCTAAGTGTTTTTTTGTAGCTGTGTTGGGTGGTGTCAGTGTTCTCATGCGTTGATATGGTTTTACGTCTGTACCCTGCAATATGCTGTATTACATGAAAATAACATTTGAAGCAAGTATACAACTGAAAAGAGGCTGAACGAAAGCATGGCATAGTTTCACAGCAATCAGAGCAGGGCATTTTGAGTGTGTTCTTGCCATTAAAGAATATTGAAGAGGTCTAACGAAGTAAACGTTACATGTATAGCATAGCGTGGATTTGGAAACTGTCACACTTTGGGTGAACAACAGGTGAAGTGGGATAAAACTGCTCTTTCAGTGACTGGGGCCAATCAAATGTAGCTATCATGAATAATTACCACAAGGGCACATATTATTCAGCATTATGTTAACTGGTGCACCTTTAGAGGGCAGTGATGAGTTATTTTTGTTTATTTGATGCTTATTAACACCTTCAAAGGGCAATGGTGAGTAATGAGTTTGTTTTTCTGAACTCGAGATGTGCCTTTTATTAGTACCAACAGCTAGAATGCAAGATACACTATTTGGCCAAGTGTATGTGGACACCCCTCCTAATTATTGAGGTCAGATATTTCAGCCACACTCACTGCTAACAGGTGTATTAAATCCAGCCATGCAGTCTTCATAGACAAACACTGACAGAAGAATGGAGGAGGGCAACTCCATATTAATGCCCATGGTTTTGGGATGGGGTGTCCAACAAACTCATATAGGTGTGATGCTCAGGTGTCCATATACTTTTGGCCATATGCTTTAGCTGTTCAGCTCATTTAGCTTCTTTGGCCTTGTGCTTTATTAGTTGCAGCCGCCAAACAAAACCAACCTATTAAATTCTTAATCACAATTATTTATATGGCAAACTAAAATTTGATGATTGTGACAGGCCAAACATGCGGATGTATAAGGAGACATCAAGCAAACATGTCGTTGGTTTTTTTTGGTTGTTTTTTAGAAAAATTACTTATAAAATGTAAAAATGAACAACTGCTTCTAGTTCATAAAACTGCTGAAAGGATTATATAAAATTATAGTTAATTTTAACAAATTGGTTTAAAAGTACTGTTTTTTTGGTTTTGGTTTAAAAGTCCACATTTGCTGAATTGCTTTGTATTGAATCACTTGTTAAAGTTAATGAATTAATTACTAAACAAATAAAAAATAGTAAAATAAGAAACAAATAGGAACAAATAGGAACAAATTTCAAATCCAGTTTTCAGTAGAAATTTCATCGAATTCAAGGGTGTAAAAGCACCTTTGTTATTTGCTCTGCAGTTCTGCTCTGGTAACTATGAAAAAGACTTTTTTGTCTTTAAAATCATTCCTGTTAGTTTTGCTGTTTCCAGGTAACTTCTTTGTAAGGAACGATGCCTTGAATGACGGTCATTAAAATGCTCAGTGAATACTTGTTGGATTGGGATCAGATTGCTTCTATTCACCTCTCTGAGGTAGCAGGAATCAGTAAAGGGAACTGGCCGCATACCTGTCATTCTCCACCAGTCCCATATTAGTGCCAAGTGGCTGAAATCATCCCAGCAGGCCTGGGGTCACCGGCGGTCAGCATGTGGATTATCCTCATTAGACAAGATGAGGAAATGACTTGGCTGAGTGCAAGAGCAGCGTGTTTAGGTTTTCATCGCTGAGGGTCAGTCCTGAGCTGCCTGAGGGTCTGCAGATTTTACCCATTACCCACTGAGCAAACACTGATGAGGGTCTGTTTGGTGCTAACAAAAGTTTTCAGCAGGGATCAAGTGGCATTAAGACTGAAACACAGCTACTGTTGAGGAAAGTTGGTGTGTATTGTTTTTCTCTGGAGGGATTTGGGTGTTTCTCAGAATTAGAGGGATCACTATCCGACTATATTAGTAATCAATTTAACTACTAGTTACTTTTGGTGATTGAGTAATCAGTTTTTTTTAAAAAGGCCCAAAAATAAAAATGGACTGTACAATAAGAAACCATTCATACACTTTTAAAGATTCTAAAATACTTGGATATTGGAAAATTTCCAAATATTGGAAAAATTAGGACTGGGTATCAAATTCAGTACTTTTATGGTATCAGCTGAATTTAATACTACAAAGTTTCAAAAAAATGTTCAGTGCAAAATTTCAGTACCTGAAGTATCAGTGAGCCAATAAGCATGCATCTTCCAAAATCTGGACTGCTAACTGGCTGTCTAAATTACAGTTATTCATGTCTCAGTCATAAATTCTGTGCCCTATTGATTACACTGCAGTCTGTTGCGATGTATGACTTTTGATTCAGTATTTTTTGTATTAGTAGGTTACAAAGCAAGTATGGTTCAGGAGTGGGTATCATATTTCAGGTATTTGTTTTGGTATCCAGATCAAAAATCTTTTACCCACTAAAACATAAACAAGAAGGCTATTAAAAAGAGGCCTTTCATTAAAAATATTGGAATGCATGTTAATGTATGTGTCTATTAGACTCTATTTCTTATTGTAACAGAGCAGTAGGAGAATTTAAAATATAGACTGTCAGCATGATCACTGACAAATAATCAATCCAATTTCATTAATGATAATAATAATAATAATACTTATTATCATTTATTATTATTATTATTATTATTATCAGGGTTGTTGGGGAGGGTTGTTTTGTCTCAGCCTCATTAACTTGTTTGTGTTATTTGCGCTAGACATTTCAGAGTTTTATGGAGTATAAAAGACTTTAATGAGGAACATTTGCAAATGACATTTTTAAAATGTTCCCTTTATTTTTCTTAAATTTTCTTAAATTGAACAAACAGGAAAACACTGATGTTGAACCTATTAGACTATAATGAAACATTTTAAACATGTAACGCTATATCTGTGTGTTTGTTAGTTTAAGAGAGGAGGAAGCTGCAGTTAATGTGGGATGATGAATCATTAAGCCACGGATAGCTATGCACGTTACAGTGATTTCACCTCGAGTAAGGGTGTTATTAAACCCTAAAACCCCTTTAGCTGTGGTAAAATCACTGTAATGCATGGCCTCATATTGCCTATTGCTGTTATATAACGGTGGACAACATAAAATATGATTTAAATACACAATTTCTTAACAAATAATTTCTTATTAATAATAATCGACATACATAATGATTCCAACAAGAAATGTAGTTTCTTTAGAGTGTTGGATTGTTGCCAAATGTAGACTCCTGAAACAGAACGAGAATGTGCAGTTGTCCATCACTGCATGTTGCAGTTGTTTTATTAACTTAGTCATGTAATAAACACATCATAATGTAGCACTGTTTAATGAAAAAACCTTCGCATTATACGTACATTTGATCACCAAATTATCACAGCGATGGCAGTGCTAATTTCTGTTAGCGCCTCTATGAGATTTCCAGTCTTATTTAGCACAAAGCTAGCGGTGTTATACATCCCTCTTCACACAGTGGGGCTGAGTTTCGAATGGCCATGCTGAAAACACAGTGCACTATTTACATAGAAATTCTTGCGTAACACACTGTTTAGGGAATCACAAGCCATAGTAGTCTTACACCTTGTATTTTTAGGCTGAGTTATGTACTTTAATTTAAAGCCTGTGTTATTAATAGAAAAGTTGTTTAGCCTGTTAACTATCAGATTTGCCTAGTTCTAGTTTCAGTTTAAACACAACTGGGTTCTAACTTCATTAGTGCACTTGCTGTGTGGCCCATGCGAGCAGCATTACAGTCAAATATTATTCCATTAGCAGCACAGGGAGTGTTTATAACTTGGTGCAGTAGTACAGTGTTCAATTGTTGTTAGGTGGTCATAGAAGTGTGTATATTGAGTATTTTATAAAGGACCCAAACACGGCTCAGATTTTAGGACTGGAACCATCCATTGTTAGAGTCACATTGTTGTGGACAGTTAAAGTTTATCTTACTTGAGTGGGTTCATGTCTCCATACATTATTTTGTGTGTTACAGCCCACCCCATTCTCATCAGTGATGGAGTTCCTAGATTTTTTTAGCATGTATAATTGAAACTAGCATACATGTTACACATCATATTAAACTAGATTAGAGAAACTGTCAATTTACACTGTATCGGTCAGAAAATTTAACTTCCATTAATAACCGAGCGGAAATCCAGATGTGAAATTTCACCTTCTTATCTCAAAATTGCGTTTTATTACATAAACATGCCACTGTTTTACAAAAAAGGCTTTAAACTCCTCCTGTCAGCTGTGCACAGTAGTTATATCACCTGGGTAGCTTATTTCTGTTACCCCAGTTTACTGTGTGTTAAATCCTCCCCATCTCTCTTAACTGTAAAGCTCTTTATCACATTTTTACAAACTTATTAAAGTCTGCAGCATCAGTGTGTGACTGCGGTGATGCTGCAAAGTGCTAGAACAGTCAGACCTTAGGAAAAACACAAAGGTCAGGGGTCAGACACACCAACAATGTCACAGATCAGTGAGCCGAATGCTGTTTTGCCATGTAGCATTTTACCAGTTTAATGCAGGAAGTTTTACTGTTAGAAGGGTGCGCAGTGATGGCAGAATCATATTAATATCAGTAGATAATTGCTTAAAAAATCTAACTTGACAGACGTTTAGATTTGACTGATATTTTAAACTTATATTTGATGTACTCTGGGAAAGATGAATGTTTACGTTCTGGTGCTGAGCTGCTGCGCTAAAATATATCTGCATTTTGTTTATTTTACTGTGTTTGTAACCCTATGGAAGTAAATTATATTTTTCTCAGTGTTGCCAATCCAGCTAGATCTAGTCCCAGCTTTTTCCATTTTATGAATTCAGAATGTATATAAATAGCTAAGCATCGGCTTAAGCAATAGAACACGAGAGGGAGTGTGTCATCGTGAATAACACACAACCTCGAGTGTTCTATTGCTTTTAAACAACAGTTAAATAAATAAAGTAAGAAATTAATAAACTGGGCAGTGAACACGGCATTTATTTTGTTGTAATGTTCGCAGTTCCTTCCACCAAATTATAGTTCCTTAACAAGCAGCTTGTTGCTACAGAGTAATGAACTCCGCCCACTTGCTGCACAGCCAGCAGTTCTCCAGCTCCTTGCACTGAATTCCGGAACTGTCATCACCACTGAGCAGCTTTTCAGTCGGCAGCTGTGACAGATACCATTACCAATACCATTCATAACCAAATCGGACTGAGCCATAAAACTGCCGCAATATCAAGTTTAGCTCAGTTTTGTCAAGTTTTGCCAGATCAATATTAATGTTGTTTTGTTCCAGCCAGTCTGTAAAGCATCTTACAGCCCATTTTGTTTTTGGCGAATGGTATTCAGTTCATTTCTGGCTGATTCCAGGTTGTTTAGGTTTTCTTCTGTCACAGCTGCCGACTGAAAAGCTGCTCAGCGGTGATGACAGTTTGGAAATTTAGTGTAGTCTCATCTTCAGAGTCTGACCAAATTGGCTGTCGGTCAAATGTGATCTTAAAAGTGTCCATTTTCTGTTTGTGGCAAAGTAAGTAGTAAAAACGTTCAAATGGCTTGAGCGTCTCCTACAGCTGTCAAAGTCATTGCTTAGCAATGGCGTCTCAGTGGAGTGATACGGTGTTTGTGAAAAAAAAACGTGCTGTTATGGCGAAATAACAACATGGTTAGAACACTTCGCAAGCAATCAGCTTGCATGGCTGGAACTAACTGTTGTATAAATGTACATAAAAATATCAAAAAAGTTACCAACATCAGCCCACAGTTCTCATATCAGTGCATCCCTATCAAAAACAGTTGTGTACTTCATCATATTGTATTTGATGGAAAATGCTTATGCTAGATGAACATTCTCCAGAGGTTTGACCGCATGCTTTCACACCTTTGGTTTGTCGGAAAATGTCTGTTTGTAGCCAAATTTCCAAAGTAGTTGAAAGGCAAGCTGAAAGTTCAGTGGAGCGAGCATCAATGGCTAACTGGTTTCTGTGTCACTGATAGCGACTGTTTATTTGTTTTATTTTCATCTGTTGAGTATGTTGCATGACAGGTTTTGTACGCTGATCCTCAGTTCGCTACATGCTGTTGTTAAATTCTATGGAAACACGATGCTCCCTGGAGCAGAGAGCTGCGTGTGCGGTCGTATCTCTCATCTCATCAGGTCTGCAGGTGCTTCCTCCCCACAGCTCACTGATGGGCAGATAAATCAGGCCTCTCTGACTTTTGACACTTCATCAGTGTTAATCCTCTGCGTGTGTTTCTGTGCTATTTTCATCTCCCGTGTGAGCACCTGTGAGCGTTTAGTAGTCCGGTATTTTCATCCTCTGTGTAGTTGAATCTAAACTTATGAGTGGAGCTGAGAGGAATCTGACTCTGTTTGACAACAATAAGGGCTAATATGGTTTGTGTGGAATTAATGGTGTGTGTGGAATTTAAATGCTGCTTTTCAGTTCTGTTCTAGTACATTCCATGGCAGTGACCTTCTTTGAAGTGTATAATACAGTTGTATGCAAAAGTTTTAGCACCCCTGGTCAAATGACATGTTTTGTTTAGTGTTTTAATGAAGTGAAAATAAGTTCCACTTCCTCCATGCTTGTGCACATTTTAATGCACTGTTACTGTTTATTCTTTTGGAGACACAAAATGTGGCCTGTGCTAAAGTTATGGCACAATTTATATTTTATTTTTTTCCCCAGTATATTGAACTCAACAAATAAATGGAAATTGTGCACTAGAGTTTGCAGAGAAATTACATTGTCCTCTGTAGAGGATGTGTTAACTTATTTTTACTCAACAAAACCAGGGGTGTTGTTTATGCAGGGTTATACAAATGTGCTCAAAATTACACTATTTCATAGATGTATGGACCATATTTTAAGACAAGTGAATAAAAGGTGCCTTGAAGGAGTTGATGATATCATCTTTACCAGTGAGAATCTGCAAAAAAGCACAAATTACAAACATAAGAGTTTGAGATGGAAGGCGATCTAAATGTGAACAATAATTTTTATGGAATGATGGCAGAATCATATCGGTATTGTCGGATGATTATTTAAAGAATTTATCAGTATCGCACAGGTGTTTCAATTTAACGGCTATTTCAAACTGATAGTTGATATCGTGTTTGTTACTGTAGAAGAGCTGAATTATATTATTTACATAGATATTATATTGCGTTCTTAAAAATCCTGACAGCGATATTGTCTTGATTGTAAACTTTGCCATTGAACTTTACATTTGACATGCAAAATTAACTGTACATTACGGTTCTCCTCCACAGCTCCCAAGTGCCTTTGAGGAGGCTGAGGTCAGGGCCGGTGGGCAGAGTGGCCCGCAGACGCAGCGGTGCCCAGTCCAGTCGGGGTAGGTCCCTCCTGCTCCGGAGCGGCAGCGCCCAGTCCCAGAAACCCTCCGACGCAGCGCAAGCCCCAGTGCCTGCCCCATCTTCGTCCCGGGACCCAAACCAGGCCTGTGTGGAGCCTCGGGAATCCCCACAGAGGTAAGAAGAGAAGTGGAGGGGCTTAAGGAATTAACTGAGGTAATAGCTTGCGGAAGCTTTATTTGCCAGGGTTTACAGTAAAGTCCCTTTCAGCCTGCAGTGATGTATGCTTTATTGTTGAAGCTCCAGGCATGCTGAAGTGGGTCATGAAGGCTTTAGTTGGTCATTACTGAAGGCTAAAGCATGGAGGGTGGTCTCTTTCATCTGCCTGTTATAAATGGGCTACACTTGTTGCGCTTTGTAGAAGGTTTTAAATATTTCCTCAGTGCTTCACTGTTGGGTTTGTGATTCAGTTAAATCGAGAGGACTGTAGTCTTGGCTTGATGAAAACTATGTTGTCATAATAATGTTTTAATTAGAGACTTACTCCACCCACTCACCGTGATGAATCGCGTTAAGGTCTCTATCGTGGAGCCAGAGCAAAGGACAACATTTCCTATCCCACACAAGACCACTGCAACATAATACTGTAATGACAGGCAGGAGAATGTCCTGATTTCATTTTGTTTGGTCAAAGCCCACTTTGATCTCCTTGAGGTTTGTCAGGCTTAGATTTTTGTTGAAAGTGTCAGGGCTTCAGCACGGCTGATGTGACTCTGGACTTGCTGGGGTGCAGATGGTGTTCAGACATCAAAGACAGAGATAATGTCCTCCTGTTTAAATAAAGGAATGGTAAATTGATGCCTCTGCTGGTCCCAAACAGTGCATGGCCCAAACAATAAGAAAAAGTTTAGGGTCAAAGTCTGTAAGCAGTAGAAAATGAAAGAATCGGGCCGTGTTCCCGCTTCAGGCTAAAATGAGGCTGTTGAAAATTCCCTCTGCTTGAACTTACTCATGTCTTTGATTTTACAAAATAGTTGAGGCCTATTTAAAGGAGCAGTTTGGCAAAACTTTAGTGTCTTTAGTTTTGGCAGAATGCATGAACCCTTTTGTTGCAATGTGAAGGCTAAAGCAGAGAACTAATAGCAGGTTTTACAGTGATCCGGCTGTGTGTTTGTGCTGTATTTCTGGGTTGTGGGATATTAGAGCTCTGGCTAGTGATGGCAGGTTCCTCTGAGTGGCAGGTTCTTCTGAATGTTCTGGTGTGTGAATCATGTCGCTATTTTTAACCCTTTGTTCACATTATGAAGGCTAAAAGCAGTGATGTAATATAACAGTAGCAAGTGGGTTTTGGGTGATTTTGGAGCTGGGTTGCTGCCCGATGAATGGTCACAGGTGGATGAAATCACTCTGGATTGTGAGTCTGCTGAGTGATCTGACGTGTGAATCATGTCTCTGTTTTAACCCTTTGTTGGAATATGAAGGCCACAGAACAGAGCAATAATATCAGGATTATGGGTGATTTTCCAAGCTGAATTACTTACTGATGTTGACGCCACTGCTCGATGTCACTCTAGCTAGTTAGGAGCGTCTGGTGGTCTGATATGTGTATCATGCCTGTAGCTTAAACCATTCTGAAGTTATGAAGGCTAGAAGTTACCTACATCTTTGCCCACAAATTGTGGGCTGCTGGTTAAAAAAGTAGTTATGGCTGAATACATGTATTCAGTAACTTATTCCGTTACAGTGCATAAAATCCCTCGCTGTTGCTGGTTGGCAGTGTCCTTTATGTAATTCCTCTGTTAATATATTTCATGAGAAATTTGCCTGTCATTTAAATGAAGCTAAAACATTTAAAACATTATTTTGGCACTCATCGACTGCTTCAATCCGCTGCTGCTCCCATAATCCCACTGCTGTCTCATGAACTAAGCAAACAATTCACCGTATCCCAACAGCAAAATCTTGCAAATATGGCTATAAAATGAGTCAAAAGTGATGTCAGATAATGACGTTTGTTACTTGCCATGAAACACAGTCCAGTACAGCAGATATGTTAAGCTCATCAGTCTTTAACATGTCCACTATTGAGGAAACTGTTCAGTTCAGTCATCCCACAAAAGAGTTTAGTAACATGAAGATTAATAACTGGCTCAATACATTGGTTTTTCCGTCTACTCAGGGTTTAGCAGAGCTCAGTACTTTTTATTTCTCTTTAATTCTAGCTGTTAACCAGGTAAGTAGCTCATCGCAAAGGTGTTTAATGGGGTTGAGGTCAGTGCTCTGTGCAGGCCAGTCAAGTTCTTCCATACCAAACTCACCCAGCCATGCCTTCATGGACCTTGCCTTGTGCATATATGTATGTATGTATGTATATGCGTGGGGCGGGGGTGAGAGGATGAGAGTCGATTATTTCTCATGATGGAGTTCAGTTTTTACTTTCGTTTTTTCCTACTGAAGTGCTCCTGTCATTTCCATTGTAATGTATTTCCTCCTTCTTCCCCTGTATGCTTCAGTCCCTTTATCCTGTCTTCAAAGGAAAAGCCCAAATGGTGCCCTTTTATATTCCGTCTGTAGTGCATATACATACACACATGGCTAACCGGAAAAACTCGTAGGTGTGGAGGAAAGATGACAGAAGCCCTGCTCTCTGTGTAGTTATGTCAGCAGCATCATAAAAAAGGTCCTTTTTTAAAGCAGCCGTATCCTCCGTGGCCCTGCGAGGGCTGCTCTCTGACATTTCAATCACAGCACCCCCACCCTCGTGGAAAGAGGCAGCTCTGGCCCTGCCATGGGAGCAGATGACTCACCACCAGCCTGGAAAACAAGCAGCACCTGGCCTGCTCACTTTCTGCCGTTTTTTTTCCTAGCTATTATACAGATGTCAAGGGCAAGCGTGAAAATTTTTTTGCCCTGGACTCTTAGCGCTCTCTGAAGAGGCATCCTCTTTAAGGTTATTCTTAATAGCTTGTTCTGGACATCCTGGCTTACCTCCTGAGAATGTTCCTGTATTCCTTCAGTCCACTTCTGTGGTAATAGCTGGGTTTAGAGGAAGATTTCCAATGAACTCAGTCTGCATGCCAAGTACTTCATAATTGCTGGTTTGATATGTAAGTGGTCCAACTTGATATTCCAACATTCTTATTAAACAACTACAAAATGTGTGTGGTCGCTGTGTTTTTAATGTAGAGAAGCAGCAACTCGATCTTATTGACTGAAGCTCTGTAGGACCCACATTAGTTTTAGCTTGGAAGATAATGAATGTAAAGAGGTTTTCACTGCTTTTTAAATGGTTAAGATGTGGTTTGATGTTAATTGCATTCCATTCTAGAGGTTTACAATGGCGGTGATAGGAACCGGATGTCTGTAGAGTTCTCTAGAGTGCCTCTAAAAGCTCCCTCACAGAAAGTTATCACATGAAATGGTGAAGAATACATCACCTAATGTCTGAGATATTATTTTAAAAAATCCATTCACGGCAGCGAGGTACATACATGACATTGTAGGGCAAAATAGTCCCCAAAGGAAACCTTTTTCAGATTCACAGTTTTACCATTATTAATGTTACCTATAAATTCTCAGATGTGTAGGTTCACTGGTCATTTTAGTAAAGAAAGTAACTGTTGTAGACACCACTGCAAAGAAATCTGAATAAATAAGTTTTTCCACAAAGTACCATTTCATATAAAAACTCTCAGAATGGCTTTGTTTGCATTTCACCTGTTGAATTTTGCAGAAATTTTGAAAAATCTGTAGAATTCCCCCTTTATGTGTTTCTACTCAATGCAGTATGTATCTATAGTGTGGTAATGTAGTTTTTACAGTCTGACGGTAATAATTGTGTATTGATTTTAATCCAGTATGAATCTGCAATATGTGTAGTTTTTACACTCTGATATTAATGATTGTGGACTAATTTTAATGTGACTTTAATCTGGTATGAATCTTCAGCGCCTATGTTTTTCACAGTTTGACTAATTATTTTCAAGTGATTTAAACCAGTGTGAATCTGCAGTGTGTGTAGTTTTTATAGTCTGGCAGTAATAACTGTGGAGGGAATGGTCTTCTGTAATCGGCTGAATCTACAGGTCCCTCAGTAAACAGCAGGCCTGTTTCAGTACACCTGATGGAACAGCAAAACCTGCTAACAGCATAGCCATGCAACATGTTATTGTTATTGAGTGTGTCCTGTGGCATAACACTAACATAAAAATCCAGGCTATGACTTTTCAGTCCAGGCTCTTTGTGGGAATTTGTGGGAATTTGTGGAAATTACACAGTTCACCGGTCAGTTCCCACACATTACATTACACAACTTCCTCTGTACGTCTTTAAATATTACTTTAGAGAAACTGTGAACGTGTTTCAGCATATGCCTCACTCTGTGTGACAGTAATATGTGCTACGACAGGTTATGATCAGATTTCTTATGTAAAACAAATTTAACACTGTAACTTTGTTGTGGACCAAATAGTGATTGTATCTTTACCCTTTTTCATGGTAAAATGAAGGTGTGTAATGTCAGATAATTACTGCTTGAAGGTGAGCACTGCAACAAAGGGGGAAAGTGAAATTAAAGATATGTTTTTCTGCTGTTGTCAGTTCCCATTGGAAATGGTGTGATTCATAAGAAGGTGTGTGGGGTGGGGACATCACAAGTACCTGCTTTAAAATCACACACTTAGGCTGTTTGATGACTGCTGTGCTGGAAGAAGCACTGAGCACTTTCTTTTTTCAGAATAGCTCAAATGGAAGTAATTCATATTAAATTGGTGAACAGTTTGTGGCCCTGAAAGAGTAAATGGTCTGTGCTGAGAGTTTAGAGAGTTAAAGAGTTTAGAAAGCTTCCTCCTGCAGAATGACTAATCATTGACTTCATTTGCTTAAAAAAAAGTTTCTCTGCGTCTTTGTGGTTTTACTTGCCCATTCCACTTGATCCTGTGGCTTTTGGTTTTAGGAGTTCAAGCAAGTGAACTTCTCAGCACTTACTTTGATGGCATGAATGTTGCAATTTCCTTTACTGTTAAATCAGCGAGTATAAATGCACAGACCTGTGCAAATGATTAAGGCATTTAAGCAAACTGTTTAAAACCATTTATCTGGACGGTCAGTTTGCTCTTGCCAGAAATTTTAATGCAATGAGTTTTTTTTTGTTTGTTTGTTTTTATAGTTGATACCTT